TACATTTGAATGATATTGTTGACTCATAGTGAATTTGCTTTTAATTTTTGTTTAAGATTGTTTCTGTCATGACTTTGGCTTAAAGCTTTAACAATTACAGTGACTTTTTAAAGATTGTCACCTATAAATTGTCATTCAGGTCATTGCCACTTTTTATTTCTTACCTTCAGCCATTGTGTTATTTAATAAAACCTTCCTTTGGGATTAAGCAGTACAGATACCAGGACAAAAAAGTTGGTTTTGTAATTTTACTTTGATAAAAGAGTTTAATGGAAAAGAAAAACTGAAGTAATGGATATAATTTAGGTTGTGGATTATCTTTGGGTTTTGATTATCCACATTCTTTACCCATTCAGATGGACTTCAGGGACAATGCTCAGAAACCCTGTTGGGGCGGTGGTGGCATGGAAGGGATAGATGATGTTAGAAAAGCAGATAGGACTTGAATGATTGGATTCATTATATATAATCTTATTTGTTATTTCTACTGCTGTAGCATTATGACCAGGCTCTGAAAGATATATGCACTTTTCCTTGTAGTATTTAATATACTCCCATGTTTTTAGGGTCGGGAACTTCTGGCTTCTGCCCCTACTGGATCTGGAAAAACTTTGGCTTTTAGTATTCCTATTTTAATGCAGCTGAAACAACCCACAAATAAAGGCTTCAGAGCCCTGATTATATCACCAACACGAGAACTTGCCAGCCAGGTATGACTTGTAGCTTTTGAAAACAATGTGTTGTTCGATGCTAGCTTCAGTGATCTTACTTGAAGGTAATAAAAAGGTCTCAAAAGAGTAAGGCCCATGTCTTCTGTCATGGTCAGTATTCTCTACACAGCACACTGCTCTGTATCTTACTGCATATGGGTAAGTCTTTTAAGTCTTTCTATAATTTTCTAAAACATGATGATTTTTAACATTTATACTTCCTTGGTGAATGCGCTAAGATCCTTGAAGTTGAACAGTTACTGAAATATATATTCTCTAAAAGTTATTTTTCTTATTTAAAAAAATGAAACCTCATCTCAGTTTTTGAGAAAGTAAAACTATACGGTAATGTGCTCCATCCTGCCAATGTGTTTAGTATAAAATACATGCCAAGTATGAAATAGTCTTATAATAGCACTGTATTTGAAGAACAATATGTAACAGGTTGGTTTTATCTCTTGAAACTGGTTTACTCAGCCTGAAGGAGCTACTGAATCTTATTAGGCTTTGAAATTTCAAAATGAGAATCTACAGGTTATTATGAGTGTAATTTCAGATACTCATGAGTTGGTAATAGATTTATTTTATTAATAATGTAAAGGAGACTATACATCTTATCCAAGTGTCTTAGCAGCTAATGTTTTCATCATTTTCTGTTATAGATTCACCGAGAGTTAGTAAAAATCTCTGAGGGAACAAGATTCAGGATACACATGATCCACAAAGCAGCAGTGGCAGCCAAGAAATTTGGACCTAAATCATCTAAAAAGTTTGGTAAGGAATTCATGCTTGGGATGTAGAACAGATGAGAAATCTGGAAATTACAAATATCCTAATTGCTATGTAAGGGTTGTCATAGTAATGTATATAATTAGTTTGATTTTTAGAGAAACTAAAGAGATCCCCTTCCCATTCCACGCGGTAGCTATATATAAATATATACGACTGGTTCTCAACTACAGACAATTTTGCCCCCGCCCTCCACCACAACATT